CAGAAGCGTTAATTCCCTTTTAAAAATATTAGTAAAAATTCCTTTCAATCCTATCTGTATTTCTATATTACCATCCTCTACCAGGCTAGGTTAACTAGGAGATGCATTTTTGCATTTAAATTAACTAGATAGATAAAATAGGATAATATAACAGAAACTATCTTACAAGACCACAAAAGAGTATAATACAAAAATTCTCTTGTTGGCAGGGTGTTTTTCCCCAAACCACTGTTAATAAAATCTAAAAGGCCAAAATTTACAGTATGCCTAGTGAAGGCTGGTTTTTCTAGAAACATTTCTAACCGTCTTATCCTATCCATATCTTTTATCTTTCTTGCTCCTCCATCTATCAGGTCACAGAGTTATAACATTAACCTTAGGAGATGTCATTCCAGAGAAAATGAGTCATCTGACAGGCAGCCAGCTCAGGCAGCACTGAAGGGCGGGGGGGGCGGAGTGGGAGAGGACAGCGGTAGGAGGTACAACATGATGCACTCACACTGCAAATTACTGCAGGTGCCTAAAACTAATCCAACTATTCTGGCTCTTTCTAAAGCAAGAAATCAGGAGAAGTGGCCTACAGGCAATGTTCCATGAAGACAAAAAGAGCTTATCTTTGTACTGCAAGTGACTCAAGCCAAACCTTCTGCAAGGAAATAGGGATTATTAAGTAATTTTGAGAAATGTCACATCTTATCCCCATAGAAAAATACAAAACTGAAGCAAGAGAAATTAACCCAGTCATGTCAGAAACTATGTCTTTGCAGAATATCAGATGTACTGCAGTGAGGCAGCATAAGCAGAGACTCAAAAGCACATTAAAAATTCAAGATCTAGAAAAATTTCAGAAAAGTTATTTTAGTCCATTCGCTCAGGCTGCATTTAGAGAACATAGTGATATGCAAATACTAGAATTAGGAAGCAGAACTGGGTCAGATCTGATGAAGCACCTCTTTGTTATTCAGCAGTGTAGTTATTTTATAAAATTAGGCAAGGCCAAGAAAAATGGCCTGACAGGAAGCAAATAGTCCATGCTGTAACTATTTTGTGCCTAACAGACTGTAATCCCAACAGAACATCTCCTAAGGGTACAGATACTTCCTTGTCAGAATCTTTGGCAGATTCAAACTTCCTCTCCCAATCTATGTTCAAGCTCTGTGTTTGGAGTAAAGTTTATCATGAAGTCTCTGATAAGGAAATGAAGAGCAAATATTAGCAGATTTTTATTTCTGGTCTGAAATATCATATGAAACCTTAAGGAAAAAAGCAAATACATGCCTTTGTCTTTCTGAAGATTCCCTACGCTTATTTTTTTGTTGCTTTGGCAACAAATGACTTGTGCAATCATTTTTGTGAATACAAAATAATCACTACAATGAGCAAACGGTTGATCCCAGAATTGAGAGGCAGAATGGAATCCAAGTGATGCCAGAACAGCAACCATTAAGGCTGAACCCAAAATGAATGTAATAAATCTAATTCCAAACCTGATCTTCACTTACATCTGGTTGCAACGTCTGAGACAATATTATCATGTGTTGTTAATTACTACTTAACCAATGGAAATGAAGAAATTTTAATTTTGCTTAAGATTGCTCTAGTCTGAAATGTTCTTAAAGCAGAATGATAAGTATCAGACTGTGAAAACATTCTGAAGATTTGCATTACATGACAAAAACCCAAACCAACCAATCCAAACATCTTTTCTGCTATTACTCTCTTCATTTCTAAAATGTAAGACTTTAAATTCTAACTTATGAAAACCTGTTGTGTTCTTCTGTTCTGCGAGATACTTGTTTGGTTGTAGAACTTTATATTATCATAAACACTGGCACAAATGTCAGGTTTTAATTAGTACGTATTTAAAGAGCAGAACATGAAGCATACAGTCACTCTGATAATTTGTAGCCAAGGTTTATTTTAACAAAAATAGCAAATTTTTTTGCCTGCCTCTAAAGTTTGAGGGTGGCTAATTTCTGTTACAAACTAGAAGACTGGTTGTTCAAAGTACTCAATTCATTTAATTATAATCAAAACCAGATGACATTCAAAGTCACACACAACAGAAAGCATAAATGCTCTTTGAGTCAGATGTATAAATGACTTCACTTCCAGGCTGACGTTTTACATACAGTTATTTCCACTGAAATTGCATTAAGTCATGAGTCTGCTCTTGAGTTCAAAGGAAAAAAGTTCTTATCATCCTCTTCTTGCTTATACCGCTGACACAAGAGAGACTTCCAGCCTCTCTTCCTTACAAATTCTGATGTGTTACAACTGGTCCCAGAGTGTGTGAAAGAGCTCCTGTACCACTGCCAAAGGATGTGGTTTTTTTCAGAACAGTCCACTTGTGCGTTACCACAGTGATTTAAAGCTGATTTTTCTTGCTTTAAAATCACTGGATTGCAATTTATATCTTCACACTGAAGTTGATTACAGCCTGCTGTTACACGTGGCACTTGACTCAGTCATCTTCTCCAGCTGTTAAGTGAGCTGGATTTAGCTATAACCCTGAAGTGGGTGGTGGAAACCATCATATTTTACAGCTTTGCTTTGAGCAGGGAGAGCTTGGAAAGCCGCCAGTCTAACTTCCTGGAATTTTACTCATTTGTTAGTTATTTTATGTAAGCCCAGCTGACCTGCTGTAAACACTGGAACTGCTTTTCGTCTAAAGTCAGAGATTCAACAACTTAAATTGTGTTCTTTCTTCTCTTCTATTCCTTAATTATTTTCTCTAACTTGAATATTGTGGGTGTTGATCTCTGTGTCCTTTCTTATTACATGAGCATAAAGTGAAGTTATAAATACCTCAGGGTGCTGGGAGTTACATTACCTGGAATAAGGGGTGTGACATTTGCAAGCTCCTTCTAATAACATTAACTGCCATCACTGCTTGAGTGGGTGATGGTTATCAGATAACCACAGCAATCTGTAGTTAGTATTACACAAGTCTAAACTAGAAGTTACTGCACAGTGGATTTTCTGCTTTTGTTAGCAGTTAGAAGACAAAGTCTCTTGGCAAAATCATCTATTTCTATATACCCAGTACACCATCTTTTCATTCATCAGTGCACTGCAGTGCCTCAAGATATGGTTTGTTACCGTACCATGTGAATTCTACAAAAGAAATTATTTTCAGAAGTAAGTTCCCCTTGGACAAAACTCACAAGTCACATTGGTCAACCTTGCCATTACACAACAGTCTGTACAGCACATCTGTAATATCTAAGCAACTTTTTAATGGAACACTGGCACAAAAGGCAATGCATACACTTTAGGAACCTTGTTCACAAGGGCTAATTGTGACATCCTTACCAAGGAGCTGTTCTTCCGCTGGTAAGTGAAAAGTGAGCTGTTTTTTAAAATGGACTGTCAATGTTCCTAGTTTTGTGACTGTCTGAGGCATGAGATTGCATAGCTTGATTTCTTATTAACAATGGTCAATATTTTCCCATTGCCACACTTGCCAATAGTTTCATCAAATTGCTCCTATATTAAGTATGTGCTTGATGGAATTCTTGATTTGACAACACTAAGAAATAAAGCAGAGATCTCTCCTAAAAAAATTTTTTCCATACTCACATAAAATACAGGTTTATATAGACCTGTATATATATATATATATATATATATATATATATATATATATATATATATACACAGCATATGTAAGTATATACAGTATATATATAGACAGAGAGACAGCAGGGTGATTGCCTACAGAAATTTGAAAGGAAGAAAAACAATTTAAAGACTATTTTGTAGCAAGTTCCACTTTTGGCTGACATTTCCAAGAGGTGATGATGGTTCTTGGGATTAGTGGTACTACATAAGGCAGTTTTCCTCGAAGTCTGTCACACAGTATGCTTCAAATAGGTGGTTACCCAAAGAATAGCAACACAGGTACTAAGGTTACAAAAATAAATGCCTTTTAGAGATTTTTTCGGTGCAGAGGCAAGACAGAGAGGTTGCACAACCCCAGCTAATCACCCAGGACACAAATGAACTGGTAACTAGTGACAGCATGAGAAAACAGCTCAAATATTAAATGATGCCATATCAAATTATTCTGGTTCTAATCAATATAAGGGCAGGATAAGAAAGAATTTACCAATTATTTTAAAGCCCTCTGTCTGTTTTGCAATCATTAACGAGGTAGTCATTGTAAAGAGCTGATGATGTAAATGAACCACCCATTTTGCAAATAGAAAATTACTTAGTGTCACAGGCAAGGACAAGAATTCAGGAACAACAGTCCTAGTTTTGCACTCATCCCAACAGGATTTCACATAAAACTATTTCGTGTAAGAATGTAGAACTGTGAAGAATATGTTGGGTTAACCCACATCAGATGAGTATTTTACAAGTCTCAGAGCTTGGCAAATTCACTGCTATAATTTTAACAGCACAATATTTAAAGACAAACAGCAGGCAGACAATATGGATTCACAGTTATATTTTTTCCTATATTTACGTGTTTTAGCTTTGCAGGATACTCCCATATTTAAAGAAAGATTAACACATTATTTTGCCCTAATTACACATGTAACAGCACTAAAGTAGGTCAGTGCCATTTATAAGAAATTAGTGTTTTAGTGCAAACAGTACATTTATCTTGTTGTCCTTAGAGGAAAAAACACCTACAGATTTTAATAGAAAAAAAGGACGCTTTTCTACTAGATTAGATTTTGAACATAAATTTATTATTTATTTATTTTTTCTTAATGAACCTAGACAGTACACTTCTTGAACTATAGAAACTAAACAAACTTCCTCTCTGAGCTATGTGGTGTTAAGAAAAAAACTAAAAATAGTAACACTCTTTCCTTTTATACAGTGTGCAAGGTATAAGTAGAATTAGATATGTGACTTTTATAAGTTTATGAGTTGTTCCCAGCACAGACTCAGGGTTTTTTTCCCCTGTGCAGCACAGCAGAGATTACCAGGACAGGCACAGAGGCAGTAGTTGACTTACAGGGCACACTGAAGATGAGCAGAACTGCCTAAGACTCAGAGATACCGCTACCAAAAATATTTCCACTCCATCTGTATCAGGCAGCAAGGGAGGTATAAACTCCTGAGGTAGCAGTGCACTTATTTTACAGCCTGCCCATCCTGCCTGCTTCTTCCATTAGAGCATTTTGCTGTGCTCCAGGAACTCTCTTGAAGGTAGTCACATTTATGAAATGTTTGCTCTCTGCTTTGCCTTGCAGCCAGCATGGCACAACCATCACCCACTGCAAGGGAACGGAACCTGGTGAAGAATAAAAGCTCTCCCCAAATGCCATCACAGATTAACAAGGAGAAAACCCTTTAATTTTATTAATGGCAGGAAGGCATTATTTCTTTCCAACAAATCTACTCAGGTTCACCTACTGATCTGAAATGGAATCTGCTCCATGTTGGACAGTCCTACTTGCCTCGTTATTACAACTTCTGCATAATATTAAATAATGTAATCTGGTTTATGGGACTGTCTGTGGCAGAAATACATTCTTCGAGAACAAATAAGCAATGTGGGAGTTTGACCACCAGCAGTCTTGCCTGAAGGAAGGGCTACAATGCAAATGTAGCTGTGATATTCTGCAGTGGCTGATACTCCTGCCCTAAGCCTAAAGGCTTTAGAACTTGCACTGCTCAAGTATTTTCAAAGCCTCAGAGCATAAACAGGTTACTGAGACACAGAACGTGGTGTTATTAGCAAGAATATTACAAATTCATTTTTGAACTACAGATCTCTAAGTGGAAGACTTTTTTGCAAAATCTGAGAACAAGTTGGCAACCCTCCAACGTGCTGCACGTGCTTTCTTCTGCTTTCTTCTGCTTTCTTCTCTTTCCCAGTGAGGAACATACTGTCCTAAAACAAGTCTAACAAGTCTTCTCTTTCTTTTTCTTTTTTTTTTGTCCTATTTAGAGGAGGCTGCGGGAGACAGGATGGAAAGGGCATCAAACCACATTTTCTGCAAGAATTATGTGAAGTCCACCCTTCACAGCCTAAAATTTTTAATCACTCCCAAGCACATACCTTATGTGAGGAATAGAGCTAAAATGATGTGGCTACAGAATGGTGGCAAGCCTATGAAAGCACAAACTGGATGAACAGATACTCAAGTATCTGCTTAATTACAGTAAAATTTAAGAGAGTTTGTATAATTTCAGCCTTCAATACCCACACCTGGCACTACCCACTTCAGAGCTTTGTGTGATTCCAAGATCAGCTTTCAGATGGCCCTGGAAATGGGAAAATAAACTTAAACCATGTGGATGGACCAGCCACTGGGATGACAAGATCTCTTACAATAGTGATGGTGCTGATATTGATCTACCTACTTTTGTACTACTTCCTTGTATTTGATCAAATGTTACAACACAACATTATGGCTAGATTCTGGATGCATGGAAGCTTCTGCAGGAAGCAGAATAATCTGCTGGAATAATCTCTTTCTCATCACTGAATTTCAAGTCACTTTAAATACAGGGGATACAGGCCAGTGACGTTTTGCACATAGTGAAAAAATGATAAAAACCAATAAAAAATAAAAAAGACATTGGAAAAACAGGAGAAAGTAACTGTATGATAGAAGAACTTTGAAAAAATAATTTTTAGGTAAACTAGAGGCAACTACTTTACAAGTACATAGTACAAGAAACATATCATTGGGGATATGATATGTTGATGCATATCGTGTATCAACAGCTGGGATGAAGCATGCAGGAAAAAGTTACATTTGTTTCCATGGATTTGCAAATGATGATGGGGACACTACAATGCATACAAGGTCACCTCACTTGTCACTGAAATGGAGTCGCCTGTAGAGTGGAAGGTAGTTACCGATTAAGAGCAGATAGCAACATTATAAAAACAACTTTGAGCAATGGATTTCAAAGGGGAAATTTTAGGTAGGCAGAATATAATCATTCATTTGGAACTCAGCCAGATACACATAGATCTGAACTCTGCATTTGCTACCAATCTAAATAGCACCACAACCCCACCATTTGCAGTGACAGGACTGCTAGCTAGGCGGCTCACAGATTAAGCTCTAGATACCTCGTGATCTATTTGCAGGATGGCTATAGCAAACCCTGCTTTCTGGGAAGGAAAATGCCAGAAAAAAAAAGCCAGAAAGGTATCAGGCAGCGTGACAAACACTCTGTTACTTTGAAGTCAAGGGGCGATCCCTTTTCACACATTAGAGATATAAAAAGTTATTTGGCATATCAACCTTCTTGCATGTAACTGCAGCCATCTGGCTTTCCTTCAAACCTCCCACCCATACAGCTCCTTTATGTGGACAGCCCCTGGGGAACCTCACACATTTCTGACAGCTCCAGCAGATGGGTGCTTTTTCCTCCCTGCTCCGTCTGCCTAAATCCCTGCTTTGACTCACAGTAGCTTTCTGTTTCCAGACATGCTGCTGAAACTGGAAACAAGTGCCAACTGAATCAGTTCTTTTCGACAAGACACATTCTAAACTATGTTCTCAGCACTTAACAGTCCATTTTACAATCCTCTTCGTGCATGCTCTCAGTTTGTTTTCCTACCACTACTGAATTCTCCACACTGTGCTATTCATTGGAAGAGACAGTCATTTTATCCATGTTAGCTACATTGGCTGGAAAGCAGCCCACAGAGCCCATCCAGATAATTTTACCTACTTAGTGGTGTGCCCAGGATGCTCTTTTCATTCAGCATGTTCAAGCACCATTTCAGAGAGCAACAGAGTAGACTTAGAGCAAATAAAACCCTCCCTATATCCTTAACTGTTTTTCCTCCTGACTTAATAGACAGAGCATAAACGATTTTTGTTGGTTTCTGAGCACTTTGTCTTTCAAGGAATGAAAGAGCTTGAAGAACTTAAAAAGCTTCAAGAGCTTCTTCAAGCTTGAAGAGCTTGAACAACAGTAGTAAACCCCAGAAATTCATAAGGGAAAATACACTGGGAGCATGTTTCTTGCTATCCTGCTTCGGGGAATAAACCTGTTCTGAATTGAGAGCTTGAAAGGAAACTCTTGCAACTCTTATGCCCTGAGCTGTTGAATATAGTGGCACAGAATAATTTACACTAGTCAGGACTCTTAGAGATCCAATGTCCCACACAAGAGTAGGGAAAACTTCAGAGACAGATCAGGTTGCTCTGGGCCTTGTCTACTCAAGTTCTGAATATCTTCAAGGACAGAGGCACTTCTTAAAGAAATTCAGAGATATACACACCAGAGGTCTCATAAATCTCATAAATCTGTTGTGTGATGGTAATAGTTCTAGGGAGATACTCACTGCCAAAATACCCATATTCATATCCTAATCTTTGTTCAGGTAAAAGGAAAAGTGAGAGACTTGCAAAGGATGATTTGAGAGAATCTGAGATAATACATGGAACTGGTCTCTTGTAATTATGCAAACTGTCTAGGGAAATAAGGTCAATGCTTTTAAATAAATATCTACACATAGGAGATGCAAATATACAACAAAGGATATATAACAATTTCTTAAATATCCAGAAAACTTTGGAAAAATAGCACCATCCACTATTACCGTAGCACTATGGATGTCCAGAGTTTAAACTGATGAACATATTTAGAAGTCTCCCCAGTTTCAGACTGCTCTCCTTGTTCCACACAACTGAGCCAGTCAGATACAACATAAAATGCAGGTGTTTTAGAAGAGGTAGGCATGACCTGAAAGCCACAGTCTTTTATTCAAGTAACTTTTTATTTTTAATTTTTTTAGAGCCACTTGAAATTATATTGTACTCTTTCTCCTCTCTGCATTGTAAAATGCTCCAGAGTGGTAGAGAATAAAGGACAAGCTTTTCTGTAGCCAGATATATCTCTAGTTTGTTATGAGTAGTGTGGCCTAATTTTTAATTACAGTCTAATACATGTTTGGGACTGTTAACCTAATTAGCTACTGCATCAAAAGTGGGACACCTACATTATTTCCAACACAAAGTAGTTAAACCATAGTAGAATGATTCAGAAAAGTTTTGTTGGAGTCAAGGATTTAATCAAAATTAATATTCAGGAAAGTATGACACCTGTTTTCATTCAGAATTTAACTGCAATGCCTTTAATACAGCTCCTTTGACAACATTTTCATTTAACTACACCCAGCCTTTTTGAAATTGCCTGCTAAATTTTTTAAATGTGAGTTTAATTGGAAGCTCAGTTAATGGACACAACAAATCTGGAATCATATATTCAGATCAGAATATGACCAAAAAAATGGTCAGCAAAATCAAAACTATGAATTTTTCATTAAAACCATAGCAGATATGTGAAAACTCCGTATGACGGCTTTGAGGTGTATCCACCTTCTATTGCAACACGTTTCTGTGGCACTGCAGTAAGGATTAGTGAACCCAATCTGATGAGAGAAGGCTGTGAGAGCTCCGGCCAGCTCAACCCTTGCCACCTCTGGCAGAGAGCAGAGTGTGTGTGGCAATAGAGATGTGAAGTTCCAAAGGGAGCTTAGACCACAGTATTTCTAAGATGCATCAGAAGGGTGAGCTGTTCCTGCAGGACTGGTATTAAGGACATGGATTAGAGAGGAAGCTAACTTCCCACATCTCAGTAAGTGCCAAATAAATAGTTCAGGGGTTATAGGCTGTTATTTGACTGTCAGCAAACAAGAGCCATAGCTACATTCAGGCATATTGGATAAATTATTCAAACTACAGCAGTACAACTCTCATTTCCTGGCAGAAATCTTTTCCCCTGCTCCTTGACCAACCCCAGTTAGTCAAGTAGAAACCAGACATAGCCATCTTGGCTTGTTCTGTGCTTTGCCTCCTCATTGCCCACCATATAACTGACAAAAATGAACTAATATTTTTTAGAGAGCCCATGTTGAATAACTGTGATGGCAAAGTTAGGCTAAGGAGAGTGAGAAGCCATAATGTAGTTATGTTACATAGTCAATTTGGAAGAACTGCTATCAGGTCCATGAAAACTAAAAATGTCCATATCACTGAAAAACAAACAATAAATACAGAATGCTGTGC